TGGGCTCTGAATGTTTGTGGGCCTCTAAAATTCACATGTTGAAACCCTAACCCTCAAAAATAATGGTATTAGGAGGTGGGGCCTTTGGGTGGTTAGGGTCATGAAGGGGAAGCATCATTAATGAGATTAGTGCCCTTATAGGAGGGACCCCGAAGAGAGCCCTAGCCTCTTCCAGCTTGTGAGGACAGAGGAAGTCTGGGAGCCAGAAGAGGGCCCTCAGCTGACCATGCTGGCATCCTGATCTTGGACTTGCAGCCTCCAGAACTGTGAAAAATACATTTCTGTTATTTATAAGCTACCCGGTCTGTGGTATTTTGTTATAGCAAATGGTATAAAATAACCCATTTTCCAGATGAGGAGATGAAGATTCAGAGAGGTTCAGTGACTGGCCAGATGTCACACAGTTAGTGAATAATGGGGCAAAGACCCCCAGCACCAGTTCTAGGTCCTTCTGGGCTCAACACCTGCCCTATCCCAGGATATGTGCCTGTTGGCCACTGTGACTTCCTGAAGCTGCTGGCCGTAGCCTTGGACCTTCTAAGACAGAGGTCTGCAAACAATAGTCCATAGGCTACATTCGGCTAGTGGTCTGTTTTGGTACAACAAATGAACATAGAATGATTCTTATATTTTTAAAGGGTTGTAAAAGCAAAGAAAAATATGCAGTAGAGACTATATATAGCCTGCAAGGTCTAAAAATATTTACTACATGATCCTTTACAACAAAGTACATCCCCCTGCTAATGTAAAAGTCCCCTGGATCATCTCCCTCGGAAGTGCATGGGGAATAATTACACATGGCCCCAGGAGGCCACGCCCCTTGGCCCGTCTTAAAGGGGGCACTGTGCTGGAAGTGGTGCTCTAAGCTGGCTGAGGAGGGGCTCCGTGGGGAAAGAAGGGGGCCAGAGCCCAGATCAGGCTGGTAGTCTGAGGGTGGAGGGTGGCCCCCCCAGGCCCAGCTTGGGGCCGGGCTTGGCCTGGCTTACAGATTTCAGCAATACTGTTACCCACAACCTCAGGGGTTCCTCTTCAACACTCACAGTGTACAGATGGGGAAACTGAGGTGCGGAGAGGTAAAGGCACTTGCTCAGAGTACATGTGAGGACTCCGAGTCCAGGGCCCTCTGTCCTACCTTCCCTGCCACCACTGGCCACTTAGGAAGGCCCAGCAGCCCGCTTCACCCCAGCTGCAGCCCAGCTGCTTTCTTTGCTCACTGGCTCCTTCCATCTGTTGGGGGAGTGTTGTTTGTTTTCCTTGGTGCTTGTTCCTGCTGCAACAAAGAACTGAAGGGCAGAGATGCAGCAGTGAAGCAGAGTGTAAGTTTTATTTAAAGTTATGCACTTCAAGAGAGAGGAAGTGCGGGCAGCCTCAGAGAGGAGGGGCACCCTGAAAGGTTGAGAGAAAGTGTGGGTGACCTCAGGAAAGGCACGCTGTAAGATTGGGGGTTCCCCCTTTTAAGGATTTCTCAGGAATGTGACGTGTTGACATCACCGAAAGGCTGATGACTTCACTGCCAGCACTGGGGTGCAGCAGTGGGAAGGCATTGCCATGCATCCAGCTAAAGGGGGGATGGGCCTGCGCAGAAGCGAGATTGGTGGTCACAGGTGCTCTGGGGACCCCATGGCATGGCACTGCTCTGGGGAGGGGGCTTGCTTCCAGCAGAGGGCCAGAGGTTATGGCTGGCTGTGTCAGAGAGACGCTGCGTGCTAAGGACACATTTGCCATGGGTGATGGTTGTGAGGAGGTGGAGGAAGAAGCATGGCTAGAAACAGGGCCATGTGGGGGGCTGGAAACGGGAAGACTGCGCTGCTGCAGATCTTCGCAGTGGAGCAGCGGCTAGCTGAATTTGTGTTGTAGAAAGCCCCCCTCTGGCTGCCGCCTGGGGGAGGGATGGGAAGAGTCCCAGAAGCTTATCTGAGTTCATGGAGGAGAGCTCCTTTCTTCAGAGGGGCAAGTGGCTGCCCCCAGCTCTCCCCACCCGGGTCTGTGCACCACCTCGCTCACCTGGCCGTGTGATCCTCTTGAGGCTTCCACCGCCACCCTGGCTTCCACAAAGGGGGGTCTGTGAGATTCGGTGATGGATGAGCTTTCGCTGAATGATTCTTAGGAGGTCGTCTGTCTTCCTGGTCTTTAAATCCACTGTGATGGGCTTTTCCTGAGCTGCTCATTTCATCTCTAACTTCAGACTTTTCAACTTGGGTAAGGAAACAGGCGCTCCTTTCCCTTGGCTGTTAGGAAGCTTAGAGCAGTATTCTCCCCCTGGCCCATGGACCAACAGGGAGCTACAGGTAGATGTTAGGGGCCAAGAACATGGACAGGACATGAACTGTATCTTATTGCTTAACCTGTAGCTGATAGTGATTCAGTTTCAGTTTAATTCGATTTCAAAATTACAGTAGTTATTAGACCCATTGTCAGATCTTGTGATTTAATGTGTCAATAAAGAAGTGTGTATATGTCATGAATTCAATTTTTAGTATTTTGATAACTGTGTTTTAATATGATCAGTTCCTTTGTAATTCTTTGCATTTTATTCTTGGCATTTAAGGCCTTTATTGTGGGAAAGGGTCCACAGGAAAAGTCAGGAGCTCTTTCCACTCCCCTCAAAACTGCCACGCCGGCTTGCAGCTCATCTCCTGCAAGGCCCCCTGTGTGTTCCCTCTGCTGCTTCTCCTGGGGTCTGCGGTGGTGCCTGCTGTTTGCTGCTGATTGGAGCATCAGGTCTAGCAAGGAGCATGTGCTCAGTTACTGTTTGTATCATTGAACTGGATTGAATTGGTTTGGCCCCAGTCTCTTGAATGCTGCCTGCAACCTTGCCCAGCCCATGGTAGTTAGGTCCCTTGGCTGAGGGTGATCCATGAACCTGAGGCCTGCCTGGGCCTGCCCCAACCTGCTGGACCCCTAGTGTTCTGTTTGACGTTCCTCAGGGTCTGCAAACCAGCACGCCTCCTAGATCCTGGGCACTTCCAGATGGAAGGGTTCTCCAAAACCTCACAGCCTTTTAGTGATTAAAGCTGTACTTCTCCAAGGTCCTGTCATCTGAAACTCTGGAAGATTCCTCGCTGCCCCTCCCATTCCTTGTTTTGTAAAAATACGCATAAAAGCCAAGCTTCTGGAAGCCAATCAAGTCACATGCTAGAGAGGAGATTAAAGCCACAATGAACCAGTTTACACGCCTGCATATTCTAATGTGCTTTCAAACAAAGTATTTAAAGATGGGGAGTGGCTGCAGGGAACATATTAAGTTGTCAGAAATGAAAACAGCTCTGAGAGGAAAACAACAGGATGGGATCCTGAGCTGTGTGCCCAGGTCCCAGAGCAAAGCTCCCTCCCCAGCCTAGATGGCCTCCTTCCCCATGTGCGTATCTCACGGTCTGTGTCCTGCAGTCTGATGGCAGAGCCCGCCTGGTGCAGGGCCTGGGGAGATGCCCACATTCTCAGTCAACACTCATTGAACAGCCAACTGATGACTGAGAAGAAAGGGCCAGCAAACAATTCAGCCAGTTAAGAAACTGATGTTTTGTTTTGTTTTGTTTTAAGAAACTAATGTTTTTAAAAAAGTTATGATTGCCTTTTTTGGAAAATTCACAGTGCCTAAGAGGAAAAATAAGAAAACTGACAAACTTCCAATTGTGCTTGTACCAATCACAGACAATTGTCCTTAACCAAGTGGCCTCCCAGGGCACCACGCCGGAAAAGAAGGCCTGAGGGCCCGTGGGGTGTGGCCTCGGCCACGTCTCTCCCCACCCCCGTGTTCCAATTCAATCTCATGGGTGTGTAATGGCGAGACTTCCAACCTTTTTCTATGAGCATAGTTTTTGTGCTTGTTTATCTTTTATTAATTATAGGGTTGTGACTACTAAATATGCGATTTTGTATCTTTTTTTGGTGTTACCATTATATCCTAAGAATTCTCCATCACAAGTTCATTTTAAGCATACTTCCTGTTGGCTGCATAATAGTCTGAAGTGCAAGTATACCATGCTTTACTTAACTAAGCCCCTATTACTGGGCATTTGGGTTGTTTCTAGCTTTGCCAGTTTAATTAATGCTGTGGTTGGTTTTTGGTGCATTGAACTTTATGCCAGCTTTGAGTGAGTGTCAACATTGGCGGAGGATTTACTCTGTGCAAGGCATTATGGGAGATTGGAGGCTAAGCTAGGCACAATCCCTTCACATAAGATGCAGATATAAATAACTTTAATCCAAAGTAGGTTACAGTTGCCATAAGCAGACAGCTAGAACTGGAATACAGAAGAGTTTGGCCTGGGCTTAATGGGATTTTAAGAAAATTACACGAGAAAATCTGAGACGTGGGTCCACAGGTACAAGGTAATGGTAAAGGGGGCGGAGCTAGTGTCACAGGGCTGGTTTACCTGGGAGACCTATGCCAGCAGGCAGGTGTCACTTGAGGCAGGCGTAGCAGCGGGTCCCATCTTAAGTGCTAAGTCAGTTGATTGTCAGTGATTGCCGTGACACAGGCCACAAGATACCTGATGAATGTGGCCGTCCCCAGCCTGAGATGTTAATTTCAGGTGAGGTTCAGGGGCTTGCGCCAGCTTGACCAATACCAAAAATTGTGTTTCTTAGATTGAGGTTTTTTGACCCACTCAGATGAAGATTCATTATCTGTCCCAGACAGGTCACACTGTGTTTTGGGGTCCTCCTTGGGAGGGGCTTCAACCCAGGAGACAAAGAGACTTGCCGCTGAGTCCAAGGAGGGGGAAGAGGGAAAGGGAAGCGGTGAGGCCAGAGTCCGCCAGCCTAGTGCCCTGGGCTGCTCTCTGCTCAGCCGCGGAGAGGCCGGACCTGTTCTCCTTCCTGCCTGCTTCCTGTCCTGTGGCCCTTTCACAGACCCAACCGCCTATAGCTCTGCTGCCCAGGTCGGAGCACCAGGAGGGGTGTTGGTGGTGGGTGGGGGCCTCTGCCCAGTGTTGGTCTCGCCCCCCTTGCCGCCCATCAGCCTGCCTGGGGCCTCTTCTCAATGGTCCTGCCTTTAGCCCCCTCAGGTGCCATGACTCAGCAGCCCCAGGAGGGCTTCGGCAGGAGCGTGGGGGACGCCCAGGAGTGGATGAAGGCTGTGCAGGAGCGGCTGCAGATCAACGACAACACCCAGGGGCCCCGCGCGGCCTTGGAGGCGAGGCTGCGGGAGACCGAGGTATGCAGAGGCCAGGCCGTGGTCCACCAGGGTGTTCCTCTCCCTTAGGCCTCAGGTTTCCCAGCTGTTAACTGTCAGGTGTGGGCTAGACCAGTGTTTCTCAGACTTCAATCTACATGAACCTCCTGGGGATTTTGGTTTAAGCACAGATTCTGACCCAAGTGGTCTGAGTGGACCTGAGATGCAGCATTTCTGACATGAGCCAGGTGATGCCTTTGCTGCCGGTCCTAGGACCACAGCCTCCCAGGAAGGGCCTAGCGCCTGCCCTCTATCTCTCCCGCCCTGGCAGGGACATGTGCAGCCAGGTAGGGCCCAGCACTGCTGGCCCAGGCCTGGCTTCCCACCCGCTTCCCTGCTTCCCTGTGCCTGAGGCCCCTGCCAGGTCCGCCGGTGCCCAGGTCAGCCTTCAGGGGAATGGGGAGGGGGCTCTGCCCAGTGAGAGGTGATCCCTGCAGCTTCTCCAGGGCTGGGGTCTGGCTTTGTCCCCGCCTGGGCTAAGGCAGGGCCCAGTGGTGTACACATCCCAAAGGCCTGTTTGCTAGAGTGACTGGGATAGGAGTCCTGATCCAGCTCTGATGCTTAGTAGCTGTGAAGCCAGAGCGAGTCCTGTGTTCTTCTAGGCCCTTATTTTCCCAGCTGTGAAGTGCAGCATGAGCCCTGGCCTCTTGTGTCCTGAGGGGCTGTGGGAAGGACCCTCATGGAGGTGGAAGCCTTCCGTGAATGCAGCCTGGAGAGAGGGTTGCTCTGGGGAAGCAAGACTTGCAGAGCTGAGAGTTTGTTCTGGGGCCCACAGGCCAGGGTTCAAATCCCCACCATGGCCGTGACACCTCAGCAGAGTCTCCAGAACTTGCTGACCATCAGCGTGCTCTGGGGAGAGTGATCCTTGCCACCTCAGGAGGGAGCGAGCATGCGGGTGAAGAACTTGCTGGTGTGCTTGGCAGAGTTCAGGGCATGCTGGCAGAGCCGGCCCCATGGAGGGAGTTGTTTCTGTGGTTTCGATGCGGGGATGTTTGCATGCCAGCTCTCCCTGCCCACGCCCCGAGCCCTTGGGAGCTGGCCCGTTGCTTTGTCTTCTGGTTCTCTGCCTCCCCAGCCCTGCACTGGGGTCTGGCCTCACCAGGCTGCTTCCTGGCTGGCTTCTAGACCCTTCTGTGGTCAGGGACGTGGTACACTTCCTAGGACCTGGCTTCCAAAATCTAACACATGGTCGCTAAACATGTGTTGCTCTACTTATACTCAAGCCATCTTAAATGTCTGCACAGCACAGTGCCCAGCAGAGCACCCAGCAGAGCACCCAGCACAGCACCCAGCACAGCGCCTGGCACAGCACCCAGCACAGCGCCCAGCACAGGATCCAGCACAGCGCCCACCTGGTTGAGGCTGTGCTGAGGGAAGGCCCTGACTAACCCTGTTCCTCCAGCTTTCCTGATCCCTGGTTCTTCTCCTTCTGAGGTTTTCCCTCCAACCAACACCCCCCTGACTTGCCCTCATTAGCTCCTTCAAATCAGAATTGTTCCGGGCTGTGGTTCAAGTGCCCTTCCCAGCTGGCCAGGGTCCCATGCCGTGGACCGCGTCCTCACTGGTGATGGCTATACGAGAGCCTCACACCAGCCAGAGAGCACATCACCTGCAGCCAAGAAGGGTGGAAGCTGCTTCTGGAAAGCCGGCCTTGCCGGCTCGGCCGCAGCCTCCTCTTCCCCGGCCCCAGGCCCACAGCAGACACCCCACTGGGCGGCATTTCGTTTTCTGGGCGGATATCTCTGCTTCAGGCCAGGTGGGCTTGGTGTTCTGGCTTCCTCTGGGACTGGACTGCTCTTCTCTCTCTCTCTCTGGCAGGGAAGCAATCATTCCCCTGCAAAGGTAGTGGGTCTCAGGGTCTCCCATGTCCCCCCAGTTCAGTCTGCACCTCTCTAATTAGGAATCAGGAGGGCAAAGGTCAGAGGCTAGCAGAGTCATGCAATCAGGACACTCAGCTTTGGTTCAGGGGCCATTGTTCTCATGGGAGCTTCCCAGGCCTGACTGGCTCCGTCTGGGTGTGGCAGAGAGAGAGTTAACCCAGCTTCTTCCCCAGACCTGCTGGCTGCCCGGATTTGTGGATCCGGATTCCGATTGATCTGAAATTGGGCAGCAGGCAAAGGGAGGCCTCCTGGGCTGCTGCAGAGAATTGTTCTGCAAAGCTCACGGTCTCTGGTTCCCCAGTACCCCCGTCTGTAAAACTGGAGTTACTGGGGTGCCCGTCTTGCCCACTTGGGTAGTGGACATGTAATCAGAAATATCAGATTCTTCACTATCAGTATTTCTAACCCAGTTAATTCCCCCTTCGAGGCAAGAGGTTCATCTTCAGCCACATTGTGGGACCCTTGTCCCTGTGTGGTATGAAATGTTCTGTGCAAGGGGTGGGTGATCTTACCGGGCCTAGAACATTCCACAGCAGCCCTTGGATCTCCTGGCCACCCTAATCACTGGGGTACCTTTGCTGTGCACTGGGGTTCTACTTCGGCCGAGCTGGACTTGGTGTTCAGGCGCTCGCTGCAGCGTTAGCCTCTGGGGCCCTCTACATCCTGCTGCTTGGCCAGTCGCTAAAGCCAGATGAAACCTTTCCCTCTCTTGGGGTGTCTTCTCGCCCCACACTCTACCTGCTGCCCCCACCCCCACATAGCACGTGGGACAACTTGAGGATTGTCACTCTTCGGTAACCTGTGCAGGAGGGCAAGTCCCTCTAGGCTATCTTATTGCTGACCATCCTCATCTGGAGTAACAAAAAGGATTAAGACTGTGGCCCATTTACCCACACTGGGGAAAGGTCTCTGCATAATTGCTCAACTGCTTATAAAGTATACTAACCTATCAATGTTTTAATTAATACTATTTTTAAAAATTAATGTTATAACCCTATGAGCTAGACCAAGTGGGGATTGTTACCACTATCTCAGGGTGAAAAAGGGAGGCCCAGGGTAATCAGGTGACCTGTCTGGGGTCACACAGCTATCAATGGGGCAGCATTTGACAAGGTAGGGCCCCCCCCCACACACACACACACAACCACAGAGGAGGGTCAACCCTCCAGCCAGCCCACTGGGACGTCAGTCTGAGAAAACTGCTGGCCCTCTCAGGCTGGGGAACGGCGGGAGCTTTAGGTACAAGTTGTACTGTCAGTTAATACATATCAGAAGGTAAGTAAAAGACAGTAATAGCAGGGAACAGTTAGTGATTGAGACTGTGGCGTGGGCTGGGCAATGTGCTATGACTCTCCCTGCGTCACGTGATGTTACTGTAAGCCTGGGTGTTGCCATCATTATCATCTGCCCTGTAAATTTAAGCACCATGATGAAGGTCACACAGGGTGTAGGGCATGGCCCTGAGATTGGAATCCAATCCTATTTTAACTCCAGAGACCAAGCTTTAGTTGCCAAAGAACTAGAAAAATAACAATAATGACAGTAGCTAATGTTAATCAGAGATGTGCTATTTGCTAGTCACTGTGTCTGAGTCTTGGTTCTCCAAGAAGCCAACACCAAGGTGAGATTAAATGTGCAAGATGTTTGCTCAGGAAACTTCTGTGAGTGAAATTGGGGCGGCAGCCTGGAGAAGTGGGAAGGAGAGATCTGTCCAAGGCGGGTCTGACCCCCAGTCTGGGACTGTCGTGCGGGTCTAAGGAAGTCTGGCAAAGCCATGGGCACCTTGGACCAGTCACCCACAGGGAGTCTGATGTCCCCCAGGAGCAGGCTCGCCCTAGTGTTCCTTCTCCGTAGCTGGTGGGAGCGGCTGAGGGAGCAGGGCCCTGGTGCGCACGGAAGACTGAGATGGTTGCGGAGCCTCCGCTGGGGTGCTGAGTCAAGCCTGCTCCCCACATAGACCTGAGAGACAGATACTCACAGCCTCACACACTTCATGTGCATTTTCTCATTTAATTCTGAAAAAAAAAATGGGGGAACTAGGTACTATTACTCTCCCATTTTACAGATGAGAAAACCAAGTCCAGGGACATAATAAGACTTGTCTGAGTTCACACAGGTGAAAACAGGCCCAGTGGAGGAGAGAGAGAAGTCATATCATCAGACAGCTCTGGGCGGTTCTGTGCTCATCTCCGTCACTCCTTGGAGCCATTAACAGGCTGCCCAAGGTCGGGGGAGAAGGCAGGGCAGCAGTTCAAACCCCAGCTCCCTGGTCCTGAAGTCCCGGCTCTTTCCAGCATGCCCCTGTCTTCCCAAGGCTCTTCCTGTTTGCCTTTGTCTAATCTCTGGAAACTGGCTTTTGTGTCCATGACAGAAAATATGCCAGCTGGAGCCAGAGGGGCGCGTGAAGGTGGATCTGGCTCTGCGAGCGGCTGAAGCCCTCTTGGCATGCTGCCATGAGGACCAGAAGCCCAAGATCCTGGCCCAGTTGAGGGACCTCAAAGCCCAGTGGGAGGAGACGGTCACATACATGACTCACTGTCACAGGTAGGGTGGCCAGGGACCTTGCCAGGCCTTTGCAGTTGCTGCTGACCTTCCTTGTCTCCCCTGCCCCACCCCAGCATCCCAGCTTGGGCCACCGCCCAGGGGACGTTTCTCCTGGGATTGCTGGGAACAGGATTTTCTCTTGGGATTTCAGCCAGCCCTGCCTGCCTCTTTCAGATTATAATCCAACGTAATGATGATAATGGGTAGTGGGGGCCCAGGGGGTTTGGCGGATGATTAATTCTTAGTAGACTTGCCGTATTTGCCCACATGCACACACACACAGCCCACCAAGTACTGGTTAGGGGGCAGTGGCCTGGCCTCCCTGCCCAGGAGCCACGTGGGTGCACTTCTCATGGCCCTGTGGCCTCTGTGCCCATAGCCGCATCGAGTGGGTGTGGCTGCACTGGAGCGAATACCTGCTGGCCCGAGATGAGTTCTGCCGCTGGTTCCAGAAGATGGTGGTGGTGCTGGAGCCCCCCGTGGAGCTGCAGCTCGGCCTGAAGGAGAAGCAGTGGCAGCTGAGCCATGCCCAGGTGCTGCTGCACAATGTGGGCCGCCAGGCCGTGCTGCTCGACCGGCTGCTGGAGGAGGCGGCTTCCCTGTTCAACAGGATCGGGGACCCCAGCGTGGATGCAGATGCCCAGAAGAGGATGAAGGCCGAGTACGATGCGGTGAAGGCCAAAGCCCAGGTGAGTGGGGCGTGGTGGGCTCCATCTTCACCCCTCCACCCATTTACCCGCACTGGATACCCATCCAGCCACCCTTTTACTCACTAACCACATATCTATCCATCTTCTTACCATCTTCTGTCCATCTTCCCAACACCCACTCACACTATTCCTCCATCTACACACCCTCCATCTCTCTCCCCACTAAGCTGCCAAATCTTCATTTACCATCCGTCCACTCACCACCCCAACCACTTACCCACCTAACCATCTATCCATCCACGCACCCTCCTGCCCGTCTGTTGACTTAGTCATCCACCCACCTCCCCACCAACCTGATCAGTCTCCTATTCATCTGTGCAACCACTTAATCACCCACCCATCCCTCTAGCTACTCATCAACCCACCCACCTTTTCACCATTCACTCATTCATCTCTCCATTATCTGCCCACCCACTGTCTACTCCTTCACCCACCTACCCACTCACTATCTACCTATCACCCATCTGTTCATCTACTCACCCACCCACCACCTAAGTACCCACCCACTAATCTTCCATTGGTCCATCCACCCAGCCACTGACCCAATATCTACCACCTACACACCCAGTGTCGCAGTGCTTAATACACATGTGGGTGCTTAATATGTGTGCATAGACTGACTAACTGATGGACTGTGATGTTCACATTACCCAGCTACCCCTGTCTCTTCCCTCCTTCCCTGATTCCCTCCCTCCTTCCCTCCCTTCTCCTGCCCTTTAGCCTTTCCTCCTCTCCTCTCTCACCCCTCCCCCAATCCCTCTGCCCATTCTTTGTCTCCATTCCCTCATCTCATTTTTTAAATGATTTTTAAACAGTCCATTGAGTTATGAAGTTCAATTATTGTTATTTTTTAAAGACATTCTATTTGGTTCTTTATTATGTCCACTGATATTTACCTTAAATTTTGCACACCTTCCAGATATGGATTGTATGTGACTCAATTCTAAGCATACGTGTTTGACAATCTCCATGAGACTGTTCCAGTAGCAGAGGTCCTGTGGCCTGATGTCGCCGTCTGCTGGCTCTCCTGAGCTGGGTCATTTCCTTGGGGGCTTTGTGGTTTTGAACTGGGAGGTCCGCCTAAGTGGGGCTTCATCTGTAGACCGCATGGCTGGAGCCTGGCCCTCAGAGCAGCTTATGTTTGCTTCAACCAGGCTGCCCTGGGAATTTACCTTCATTATTCCTGTTTTTATGTCAGTGTATTGGGTTGGGGGTAACAGAATCAAGTGGGTGCTCTAAACTTGAACCCCAAGTCAAAATTATGCATTAAGTCCCTGGCTCCATACACTGAAAGGTAACTGTTTTTTTTTTTTTTCATTTGTTTTTGTTTTTGTTTTTATCCCAGAGCCCAAGCTGAAACACAATCTTGTTTCTTGTGTTGGCTTATGGGGGACACTTATTGTTTCTAGTTCACCCTTTGATGGAGGGGCAGCCCCTCAAGGGTCTGCCTTTTGCAGTGGCTTCTGTGCCCTCTGGACCCAAAGTCTTACTTCTGTAGCATGACCATCAAAGTATGCATGTGAGGTAGCAACCTAGGCATGTTAGCTTCTGGTTCCCCAGATCTCTTACCTGGGTGTACCTGTGGGTCTGCATTTTAACAGCACTTGTTAAATTATATCCAGTCTTTGGTTGTGTGTAGTGGAAGGGCATGCAGGCTGTCTAGTCCACCCAACTACTAGAACTGGAAGTCTCCTGGGTCCTTTACATTTACATAAGGGAAGTTGTTCTGTAATAAGCAAAGACCTGGGAATCCATGAGCAGGAACAGGACTCTGGTCCCTGAATGCTTGGGAAGGGATCTGGGTCCAAACCAGGCTTTGCTGCATCCCAGCTGTGTGGCTTCAGGGCAGCTCATTCTACCCGTAACCAGGTGGTAAGGACTGAATGAGTTCACATATAAGCTCTTGGAAAACCGGCAAGCATTTATTTTCCTAACAATAAAGGACAACATCTATTCTCAGTGGCAATGAGAATAAATAGCAACAATGATGCTTGACACACAGCAGGTGCTCAGAGCTGTTTACTGAACAAATGAGAATCTACCCCTGCAGCTTGATGGCTCACAACCCCCTAGGCCCAGTGGGGAGTGACAGGCGGTTCTGGGGCAGCTGTGAGGGGCCAGAATGGACAGATGGGGTGGTGTGGAGTTCGGCTCTCATGGTTATGGGCAGTTGGTGCTCACCACCTCCAAGTAGCAATCTCTCTCCAGGTCTGTCCCCGTGGCCCAGACAGGGAAGGTGCCTGCCCCCATGGCCCCCTTGGGTGACTTGACAGAAGACAGGTGCTTGTGTCACTCAGAAGGGAGCCCCTGGCGCAGGTGCGGAGGAGAGGAAATGGGAAGTGGTCGGGTGTGTGTGGGGAGGGGGTTGCCAGCAGTGCCAGGTGGCCACCAGTACTGCCCACGAGCACAGATGTCACCTCAGAGATTCTCACGGACAGTCCAGGGGCCGCTCCCCTCACTGGATCCCCAAAATCACTGGAATCACAACTCTTATTCATGACTACTATCTTGTCTGCTATTCTTTTTGTGTCCTTGACCTCATTTGACCCTCCCAAACTTATGTGGTAGATAGAGAAGGTGTGACTGGATCCATTTTTTAGACTTAAAAAAAAAACCTTAAGTGGCAGACACCACTAGCTGCTAGAATGAGCCTGGAGTTCTAGGGGGCTCCCCATGTGGGCTCTGCCTCTGGTTTTGCCTCAGGTCCTGGGGGGGTCACCACACCTGTGCCCAGAGGGGAGAGCCGGGTGGGGGTGCAGGTGCTCCTGTGGGTCAGGCTGGGAAAGTGGGTGGCTTCCGAGCTGCTGGAGCGGGGAGCTCGTTGCTTCCAAGGGTGTTCATGAGACAGGCCAGTAGCAGGTCCTGGGGGCAGGAGTGGGGCCCTGGGCTGTGGGGCAGGGGTGTGGGGAGGAAGCTGCCTCCCTGGCAGAGGCCCTCAGAGTTGCCCTAATTGCTGCTCAGTCCTGACCCCAGTTTGAAAATGGGGTGCCGGTGCCCGGATCCTACACAGAGACGTAGACTCACTCCAGCCATTGGTGGAGGCTCACAGGCACTAGACTTTCTCTTTCTGGCCGTCAGAGGTTGGGGCCCTGCTCTTTCTCTCGGGAACCCTGTTAGCTCCTGGATGGGGAGGGGTGCGGGAACCGTGGAGCTGTCTCATCTCCCCCAGAGCTGGTGGTAGAATATTGAGAGGTGGCAGGTGGGGAGGTGCCAGGGCAGGCCCCAACGGGTCCTCTGAAGTTATATTCAAACTGTGTATGAGTGCAATTTGCCAGGAGAGGAGCCATAGCTTCCATCAGATTCCAGAGGGTTCCATTCCCTCAGGGACTGAAGCTACTGAGGGGCCAACTCTTACATTGCCCTTAGCGTGAGATTGACTCTCTGGCTCCATCCTAAGCAGGGTGGGGAAGGCTGCATGTCCAGTAGCCCCCAGAGATTCTTGGTGGCCCAAATGCCTCCTGTCCCCTGCTCTTCTACATTTGATGAAGGCCTCATGTCACTTAAAGTCTCTCTCAAAGCAGCTGAGACAGCATCCCGAAGCAGGCCTCTGGAATCCAGCAGCAGAACGAGGGCCATGTGAGGACCCCCAGAGGTCCAGGCCTATTCTCAGAGCGGGGAGGCTTTCTGTGATGTGGTTCAGCTGCCATAACAATACCGTAGACTGCGGGGCTCAAACAACAGACATTTTTTTCTCACAGCTTTGGAGGCTGGGAAGCCTGTGACCAAGGGAGCCAGCATATCTGGTGCCTGGTGAGAGGCCTCCTCTTGGGCTGTGGCCTTTGTGACCCCCACTTGGAGGGACACAGATTCTTGACTAGGGCACCCGGCCAAGCCCCAGGGTGAGCAACAGCACCCCATCAGCTCCAGACACCTGGAAGTCAAGAATCAGGTGGGCTGGTTGCTGTGGGGGACCTGCCTGTTTATTTCGTTTGAGTGTTTTTAATCGGCCGCTGGATTCTGTTTTCTAAAGGCCACGTAGTAGTGTCGTCTTTCTCCCTGCTTCCCGTGGCGGCCTCAGAGGACATGTTTATCTGGCATCTGGGCTATGAGTCAAAGCCTTCCATGCAGGCTTTGCAGAGGCTTAAATCCACGCTGCCCTTAATTGTTCGGGTTTTGATGGTCCCGACAACTCTTCCCGCTGTTGATGGTTTAATTGTTTGGTCTAATGAGAGAAGCCTGAGAGGTTCCATTTGTCAGGCCTGCCATTCGCTGACACGGCTGGGTCGTCAGTGGCTGAACTGTGCTCTGTGATCCTCGTGCCTGGCACAGAGCTCATCTGGACGCCTGCCCTGCTTGGCCGCCTTCTGTCCGAGTGCCTGCTCACTGTCCTGGAGGCTTTTATTTACTCCGGATTTCCCGAGTGCCAGCACCTCGTCCCTCACACGGGAGCTTTCACTGGAAAGTCCTCTTTGCGGACACATTTATCACCATCAGTGTCAACCCGGGCCCAGCGTTTATTCTCTGCTTGATACTCCTGGCCCACTTTGTTTCATAAATGAGCCTTTCCTGTGGGTGGAGGAAGCTCCGGGAGGGTTTTGATGGATGCGAATAATCCTGCCGGAAGGGGTCCAGCAAGGACGCAAGAAGGAGATGGTCACTGTCTCTTGGTCCACCTTGGGAATTCAAGCGTCTACTGGGCACTGTTGGTGAGCTCTGAGCCTTATTCTCATGAGAGCTGTCTCAGCTCTTCACCGAAGGACTCGGTCCTGTGCCTTGGTGTCCTCATCCCTAAATGAGCATATTTTGTCCCAATTACAGTGTTGTTGCAGAGGTTTAAATGAGTTTGGTATTTCTAGATTTGACGAGGAGCTTCTCAAAGGGAGGGGAAGGCATATGCAAATAGCTGGGACGTTTTCTGAATCCATGTGTCTGTCCACGTTTCCCATTTGAGAACTTTGACTTAGTTTCGGAGAGGGTCAGGGCCTTCCTGGACATGGCCTGGCTCTGTGGCTGAAAGCTGAGGTCAGCAAACTGATCTATGAGCCAAATCCAGCCCACCTCCTGATTTTATATGTCCTGGGAGCTACAAAGAGTTTTTACATTTTTTTTAATCACAGGGCAAAATAAAAAGTAGAATATTTCAAAATGGTGTAAAATACAAATTTCAGTGTCCATACTTAAGTTTTACTGGAATACTACGATTCTTTAGGTGTTTGCCTGTGGCTACAACATAAGTGGCACATTAAGTGGTTGAGTTTGCAACAGAGCCCCAGTGGCAGGTAGAGCTGAGAACATCTGCAGTCCGCCAACCTCTGGGCTAGAGCGGTGATTCTGGAGCGTGATGCTTGCTGTTTAAATCTTGTCCAGAAGACCCTAGAGGAGTTATGTGTCCTCCCAAAATCCACTTGGACATTTGCATAATGGGAGGGTTTGGGATTGTTGTGAAGATTAAATATGAAAATGCTTATCAAGTTCCAGCCACATAGTAGGTGCTTTTTACATAGTAAGTGCTTATTAAATGGGAGTCCCCTCTTTCCCTTTTCTTGACTCTCCTTGATCTGCTGGTGGACCCTCAGGCATTCAGGAAGCATTTATTCACAGAGCCTGCCCCAGCTAGACCTGGGGGAAGTACTCAATAAGGGGCAGCGTGTCTCAGGGAGCTCTTGGTTCCCCCAGCAGGAGACGTCATAGACAACGCTGGGGGATAGCTGCCATGCACAGGGAAGGCTGTTAATTCTGCCCAGGGCAGTGGGCAAAGCCAGAGAGAGAGGGTAGGGCCTGGAGGTTAGCGCTGCCTGGTGGGCACCCACTCGTTTGCTCACTTGGGTGTGACAAGACAGAGAGACGGTGACGATGCACAATGGCTCACGGTTTTTAAGCACTTCCTACTTGCCTGGTGCAGTTGTGTGTGTGAGCTCTGACTCTAATCCTACGTGAGGTGCGTGCTGTTTAACCACATCATACAGCCAGGGGGACCCAGGCACAGCAGGGTTAATTATGTGCCTGAGACAGACCAGGGCGCAGAGGGCTCCCAGGCCCAGAGTCTTGACTGCTGGGCTACAGAGCCACATCATAGGGTCCTGCCCTTGACCGCCAGGCTGGGGTGTTTGGACTTGAGCCTGGGGACTCAGGTTGCTGGGAAGGGGTTTAAAGAGCGCTGCTGTGATCAGGGGTGTTTTGAACAATGGAGTCCCTGGGCACGCAGTAGGTCTTATAGAAGGGGCACGGTTATTTTCCAAATGTCAGCCACCTTCAGGACACCGCCTTATCCCTACGTGGCTAGAGCATCAGTGGGATTGTCTGAAAATAAATGATTCCAGCCCTTGCAACCAACATCAGCACTCCTGGGGAGCAGCCTGCTGTCTGTCTGTGCACCCTGCAGACACCACCTTAATGGGGCAGAAATGCCCGCAGCCCAGCTATGCCCGTGGGTTTGATTCCTGGTGCTTTCCTAGCCAGGTGACCTTGGGCGCATCATTTCACCTCCCAGTGCCTGTAGTTCCTTGTCTGCCAAGCTGGGATGATAATGCTGCCACCTGATGTGTGGTCAGGAGTGTTCACTGAGAGGATATGAGTGTTCACATAAAGTCCTTCAAGCAGTTACGGACCTTGGTAAGCGCTCCGCTGATAGTGTTAGACAGCAGTAGTTGTTACCGTGCCCCTGTCTTGAGGGTCAGTCCCAGCTCAAAGGAAGCAGCTGTATGGCTTACAGGCCCCACGCCGACATGCTTTGGTCTCCAAAGCTTGGAGTCCCTTGGTTTATTGCTAGCAAGGTAGAGAAGAGTATCTGGGGTTTCTTTAGGGGCAGCCTCATGGCTGGTGACTCTGCTCCCCTCCCACAGGCCAGAGTGGAGCTGCTGGAGCAGATGACCCAGGAGCATGAGCATTTCCAGGCAAGCGTGAATGAGTTCCAGCTGTGGCTGAAGGCGGTGGTGGAGAAGGTGAGCGGCTGCCTGGGACGGCACTGCAAGCTGAGCACCAAGGACCGGCTCTCCGCGCTGCAGGTAAGTCCAGCTGTGTCTCCACCAGTGGGGTCCGCTGAGGGCGCTCCCATATGGCGGGGCCTGTGTTATAGTCTATTTAATAGGATGTGCCGGGGGCCGCAGGAGATACAAACATCCATGGAATGCAGCTCCCCCAGGAAGAGAGGCGTGGATCTAGTGCAAAATATTTGGGGCCTCAGCTGCTCTATGGAAATTAGTGAGCCGGCAGGGCATTTGGAAACCCAAGGCCACAGCAGCCTGCTGTAGACCCGTGGGACGTTTGGCAATGTCTGAAGACATTTTTGGTTGTCACAGCTGAGGGTGAAGGTTCTCCTGGCATCTGGTGGGTGGAGGCCAGAGATGCTGCCATATACCCTCTAATGTACTGGACAGCCCACAACAAAGAGCTATGCGACCTCAAATGTCAGTAGACCCAGGCCTGCAGTAGGGAGAAGCTGGGGCCACTGGGGCCTTCCTGACTTGCTGTGACCTTGAACGAGCTCTTGACCCTCTGTAAAGTAAGGTAGATTATTTTCAATAATTCAAGGGCCACTTTATAGTTTTGCTACAGCTATACAGCACCTGTACCATTTAATTTTTTTAAAAATCAACTCTTTGTAAAAGACCAATGAACAATGACCAAAAATTACCTTATGTGGCTTGTATAAGAATGTTTACGCAACCTTATTCATAATAGCCCCAAACTGAAAACAACTCAGATGTTAATCAGCAGAGTATTAGATAAACGCACTGTAGAATACAATATTTATACAAAGGAATCCCACTCACAATAAAAAGGAATGAAGTACTGATATACATGACAGCATGGAAGCATCTAGAAAACATAATGCTGAGTGAAAAAAGCCAGTTTCTCCAGCTCACATATTCTCTGATTGGAAATACATGAGGTTCTGGGATGTTAGAAATGCTCTATATTTTGATAAACATGTAACTACATGGGTGCACATATTTCTCAAAACTCTTTGACCAGCAGCACCTAGAATGTGTGTGTTTTACCCCATGTAAAATTATGTTTACTTCAAAAAAGAAGTAGAATATTCTGGAGGCCTTTTCAAATAAAACAGATTTAAAGCTGTTTATATACATTTTAAAAACTAAAAGCCAGTGAACATTTTACTTAAAAAGAAAATTTAAGTCATTGTTGTAAGTGGAGAACTAGTACTCATTCACAATTAGTAGGTAACCACACAAATAAATGCAGTGAAACCAAATGGGGTCCTTCGGTGCTACCTGGCTCCTTACTTTTGCCGGCTGGCGGCGCTGGGCCTGTGGCTGCCTCTATCTTTGTTCAAAAAGGAAGACTAACAAATGTCAGAGAGTTAAAGACAGAGAAGCACCGATAAAGACTTTTTCATTGACTTAATCAAATGGCTCGTAAAAGACCTGGGAAGGGAATTACATTCTCATGTTGGAAGTCAATAAATGTTATTAATAAGGCAGACAGTCAAGCCCCTGGAAAGGCGCCTCTGGCTCTGACCCAGGAATCTAGGAATAATGTTCAGCATGATGTTCCAGGGGCTCCGGAGAAATGCAGCAAATGTTTTCTTTTCCCCTCTGGTTCGTTCCCATCCCCCACTCTCCTCCCACCCGCCCACCCCCGTAGGACATTGGCGAAGATTTTTCCAGGGCTGAGGAATCTTTGCAGAGACTGGAGGCACAGGCTGCGGGGGTCATCCACAACACCTCTCCTTTGGGGGCAGAGAGGATCACCGAAGAACTGGAAGAGATGCGGAAAGTTGTAGAAAAGCTGCGAGTCCTGTGGGAGGAGGAGGAGGTGCGGCTGCAGGGCCTGCTCAAGTCCAAGGAAGCCTATGAGCGGCAGCGGAGGCAGCTGGAGGCTGAGCTGGGAGAGTTCAAGAAGGACCTTCAGAGGCTGGCTGAGGAGGGCCAGGAGCCCACAGGGAAGGCGGGGACTGAGGAGGAGCTGGTGGCCCTCTGGAGACTCTACTCGGTAAGCAGAGTTTGGCTAAGCTGGGGCAGGCCAGATGCTGTGTAGGCCTCTGGGCACTGCCTCCTGGAGCTCCTCTGCGTGGCAGAAGCGCGTTCACGTTGGCCTTCCTGGATCTCTACGTTCCCTGAATGTAGCAGACAAGCGATTGTGCCCATTTTCCTGATGAGAAAACTGAGGGCCAGACAGAATTTTTTTCCCAGCATTCCCAGGATCACATAGTGAGTTGGTGGTAAAAAAAAAACTAGAGGTGGATTGGCTCCAAGTTCACGCTTCCCCTGCCCTGAAGATGGGATGTGGGGTGGGTTTCCTGAACACAGGGCAGGGGGTGTTAGGTCAGAGGGAGAGCTCCTGGTGTAGAGGCGATGAGGAGCAGGCACAGTGGGGGCTCTGGGAAGGCCAAGCAGTGCCCGTCCTGGAGAGGGTGTGGTGGGTTCCGACCCAGACATGATGTCCAGTCACAGCACCCCCAGACTCCCCGTGTGCACACTCTCAGGAGGTTTGACCTGTGGACGGAGATATTTTTTTTAATAAGGATTGACACCCTTCCCCCACTCCTATCTTTATTAACTCAACAGGCTGGTTCAATGTCAGTTTAATGTTTGCCCATATTTTTTTTGCAAAAAAAAAATGTTTTTGTGTAGGTAGAAATGAAACATGTATATTCTTTAGGGCTCACTCTGCCTTGATACAGGCCAGATTCCACTGCTGCAATCAACTTTCTGCAAAGGGAATTGTTTCCATTTTAGGGTTGTCTGCGTCAGCACAGGGTACAGGTAGTGTGGCAGGCGGCTGGGGGCAAGGGAGCTGTGGACCACACTGCCTGGCTCCAGGACATGGTTCCTCTCCTTGCTCACTGGCCAGCTTTGGGAGAATTACCTTAATCTCAGGTGAATGTGAAATGGGGCTGATGGCAACAGGATATCCATCCCACATTCCTTACGAACATGTGAAAACATAACTGCTTAGAAAGGCATCTGCTAGAAAGTCAGTGCTCAGAAAGTACTGGCTTTATAAGAAGAAAACAGATCCTACCATTTGCAACAACATGGATGGAGCTAGAGGGTATTATGCTCAGTGAAATAAGCCAGGCGGAGAAAGACAAATACCAAATGATTTCACTCATATGTGGAGTATAAGAACAAAGAAAAACTGTAGGAACAAAACAGCAGCAGACTCACAGGACCCATGAATGGACTAACAGTTACCAAAGGGAAAGGGACTGGGGTTGGGGGTGGGAAGGGAGGGAGAAGGGATTAAGGGGCATTACTATTAGCACACATAATGTATCGGGGGGCATGGGGAAGGCAGTATAGCACAAAGAAGACGCTATAGCATCTTACTGCACTGATGGACAGTGACTGTAATGGGGTATGTGGTGGGGGCTTGATAATGGGGGGAGTCTAGTAACCACAATGTTGCTCATGTGATTGTATATTAATGATACCCCCCCCAAAAAAGTATAGGCTTTTACCATCAGATCAGGGGAGGGGTAAGGTTCAAAGAGTACAGCTGGGGAGGGCAAGGCCCATAGAGCTGGCCCCTCTTCCTATGTCACAACAGCCACCTGCCTGTGTCTGACTGTGTCTGACTGTGTCCCAGGAAGCCGTTCCTGAGGCAGGAGGCTGACCACCTACCTCCCTACAGAGGCTCTCTGCCCCACCTGAGTCAGGTGTCACCTCAATTATGATCAAGTCGTGACTAACCAGAAATCAATGAACAGCAATTCAGAATTTATTACTAAAGACTTTTGTTCTTAAACTAACATTCATGTAGTTACTATTTGCACTTCGTAGTATGTGTTCAAGAGTGAGAAGCACACACACCTGACTTGCTCCAAACCCAGCCCTCCAGAGTGGCCGGGTGCCCTGCGAGAAGGCCAGGTATGTGGCTGCAAGGCGGCCTGACCTGCTTTGGGCAGGGAGCACCCTTGACCCAGTAGGGCAGGGCAAAGGTAGTGGGCAATTAGCCTATCTTAACCAGAAAAGAAATTTGTACTTTTCCCCTTCTGAGAAACAGGCAAACGTCATGGAAGCAGGTTGTGTCAGGGCCTCAGTTGAAAGAGCAACTTGTAAAGAAAGAAAGAAAGCCTCTGCAGGACGAGATCATCTCCAAAGTAGTCCTAGCAAGGTTATGATTTGCCCAGGCGCACAATTCTGTACAGCTCCGTGTGGAGCGCACTGCCATGATCTCCCTTTTACGGTGGGGAAACTGAGGCAAAGTGAGGCTGACAACTTACAGGTGCACACCCCATGGGTGGAGGCAGGAGTTTGAACTTGACCCTAGGCGGTCCACTCCAGAGCACATGCTTCTAACCGTGGTCAAGCTCCCAGCTCCAGGCTCTCGCCAGCTCAGGCTGCCAGTTTCAGAAATCAGCGTGAGAGGCATGGACAGGAAGGAGTTTGGCCGTGACCACGTCCTCATCTGTCTGTCTGCAGTCCCAAGATCCTCCGCCACGGGGAGCAGGAGGGCAGGAATGATTTGTGACGTCCCCGTGCAGACCGAGGCGGGACAATTTATCCATTTCAGGGAGACTTTTAGCCCCTCAGGGTGAAATCAGAATGGCTTTGTGCTAAACCAGAGTGATCACAGCTGCCTCGCAGGGTCACCCTCCCAGGCATCCCAGGCAATCCGAAAACCGAAGGTGAGCCCATCATAGGTGCAGATACGCATGGCGGGGCTGGCAGGGCCCCTCTCATTTCACAAGGAAGGAAGCTGCACGTAGAGAGGGGCAGTGCTTAGCCAGGCCAGCACTGTGGGGCCACGTCCTGCCAGCTGTGGCTCCCTTGTGACCCTCTGCCTCTCAGGACCCAGGGGCCTTGGCATTTCTGGGACCCACACAGCCTTAAATGGGCTCTTGATCTTCCTGTGGTCCAGACAGGCCTTTCTCCCAAGGCAGCCCACCACCCCACTCCTCCCCTGCGTTGCCTCGGCCGGGTCTTGGCTTGTCTGCAGGCCAGCCAGCCTTCCTGGGGCTTGTTCGTGAGCGGTTTGGAAACTAACAGTCCATGCATCTGATTGTGTCTTCATTTTCTATGGAAACTTGTGCAGATTTCATTACATTTGCTTAATAGTTGAATCTGGACAGGACTATTTCTGAGGAGGGCTGGCAGGGCTGATTCTACATCCTGCTGCCTACACAGCGTTCCCCCCTGCCCCTGGCTGCCGCCTACAATCCTCTATCTGAGCTTGCTCCCTCAAGCTTAAAACCTCAGTCCTATTCACCTGTGGTTCACCCAAGGCTGAGCCTGATCAGAGCTGCCCCAGGGCCCTGTGCATGGAGACTCTGGGCCAGAGCACAAGGGTGCCTCCTGGAAGTGGGGCAGAGGGTGGGGGGCAGGGTGGCTGAGAGGGGCACAGCTGGCCTCCTGCTCTGTGCTCAGTGCCTTGCCAAGTGGGGGCCCCATTTAGCAGGGAGGAACGGCTCAAGTTTGTACCACTAGGAAGGAGTCGGGGGCGGGGTGAACTCCAGGAAAACCTGGGGCATGCCAAAGCCCATGCACGTACCACCACGCCATCCTGCCTCCTACTGAGCATGGGCCAGCAAGAGTCAAGGGCAAGGTCAAACTCTGTGCTTCCTGGGACAGCAGGAAAAGGCCCCACCTGCAGTGTGGGAGCACAGTGAGGGGTTCGGGAGTGCTCAGTGGACGCCACCCCCCAGCCTGCCGCTAACAATACCTGGCTCACAGGCACCATCTGATCACTGTTTCCTTTGGTGCTCAAGAGTCAGCTGAAGAGCCAGGGGACCAGCGCCAGTGTCAGGTCCCCCGTGTCCCGGCTCTGCAACGTCAGAAAACTCTTAGCCGGAGTTTCCTTGTGCATGTAATGAGGACTCAGAGAATTACCTTCCAGGAAGCTTCGACCAGTGGGACTCCCGGGCACTCAGCATGGTGTCAGCATTCCCTACGCATTAGTCATTTGCAGTGTTAGGGGTTAGTACTCACGACAACCCTGTGAGGTCGGTGACAATAAAGAAAACCCAGCCGGGGGAGAGGACCTGCTGGGTTTGGGGTCACGGGATGGGAGGCGGGAGAGCAGGGGCTGGGCTCCTGGGTCCCAGTCCCGCCCTTGGTGACAGTTTTCTCCCAGGAGGCCACTCTCGCCAGGCACGCTCATGCCCCTGCCCCACATGCCTGCATGGAACCTCACCAGCCCCTGTCGGGTGTCCTCTGTGTGCTGCAGGCCACGCGGGCGGCGCTGGCCGCGGAGGAGCCCCGGGTGGCCCGGCTGCAGGCTCAGCTGAAGGAGCTTATCATCTTCCCCCACGACCCGCAGCCGCTCTCCGACAGCGTGGTTTCGGCCATCCAGGAGTACCAGAGGTATCTGGGCAGGCTGGGGGTAGGCAGTGGGACGGGGCTGTGCCTCGATCTCCACACTCAAGGGGTCTTCTTTCCCCAGCTAATGCCAGCTTGAGGAGGCGGGCTTGATTTCTCTTGCATCCTGGTAACTTGAATAATTCGTGTACCTCTCAACAGCTGGCTGTGGCAGGGCCTCCCAGGGCTCAGGCCTTGGCCGCTCTTGACAGCGGTCAGCATTTTGCTCCCAGAAGGAGGCCTGGATTTGCCTTTTTTCCGTGCTGAGTGTCTCATTCACCCGTTTCCATCAGGTCTCCTGCAGCTTAGCATGGGGGAGGGGCCTACCTACCCTAAGGGCCCAAGAGGAGGGCTTCTCAGTAGACAAACCCATTCCCCCCACCCTGCGGACGGTGCTGATGTGGCCTCTGAGCCTGTCTTTAGACCAGCCTCCACCTCCCCCTCGGCCTCTGGGCTCGGGCACAGCAAGGGGCTCCCGTTTCCTAGCTCAGCAAAGACCAGTGGGTCAAACCTAAGTGGAACTGAGCACAGTGTAAATGTGGAATCTGTAGCTAGAGCTGCGTGAGCCTCCGCAGTGTTCTGAGCACAGCACAACTGTCTACGTGTCGGAGGCCCTCTCATCCTCTGCCTGTCACAGGGGGCCCTTCAAGGAGAACTCAGGGGGCTTCCTGCTTGCTGTGGGTCTCTTACCCCACAGTGTGCGCAGGCCCCACATTAGTACAATCAGAGCAGGGGCCAGGATTTCCTGTGGGATGCTAAAGAGGTGGCAGGGACCTGACTTCCCTGTCTGCAAAGTGGGCGATGGGCCAGGGTGGCTGAGGGCCTCCGTGTCTCTTGAGGTTTCACGTGCTGGCCGGCTATGACTGGGTGCTGGATATTGTCATTGAGAAACTACTTGTAGAAATTATTTGGGCCTAGGATGATGGTCTCTTGCTGGCTTCTGGGAGGTGCCTGGGAGCAGGTGGTACCAGTCTAGGGTCTCTATAATTCCTCTTCAGTGCTTGAGGTTCCCTGGTCTGGAAGCTGGGCTGAGTCTGTTTGAGAACTGGCTACCTTCCTTTGCCCTTTTATCCAGAGGGCATAGACCTCTGAGGTCCCAAAGACACTCCCAGAAGCCTGAGGGCCAGGAGGGAGCCCACCTGGGGAGCAGCACAAGCTCACTCCTGGGCTTACCTTCTCCCCCACCCCTGCAATGCCTGTCTTGGTTTCTCCTGCATGGCCTGTGCAGCATGAAGGGGAAGAGCAGCAGGCTGCGCAATGCCACGGGGGTGCAGCTGTGGCAGCATTCCCAGCGGCCTCTGCAGGATCTGCAGCTGTGGAGAGCCCTGGGCCAGAGGTTCCTGGATGTCACCGCCAGCCTGCCTGACCTGCCCTCCATTCACACCTTCCTGCCCCAGATCGAGGTAACTGTGGGCCTTCCAGTCCCCTGCCAGGGGAATGGCCGGTGCAGCTGGGAGAGGGTGCCAGCTAAGTGTGGCATTTCAGTCACTCTTACAGGGAAAGGCCTATGTCTGGGTCGTCCAAGTATCTGGGAAGAGCTCACTGCACCTGCCTGGCAAATCCTAAGCCTTCCCAGGAAATGTTATCAGCAACAAAGGTCATCCTCAGTTCTTGGGTAGAAGCAAAACCTGGTGCCTGGTATGGCCCCAGAACTCAGCACTGACCCTCCCACACCCCTTCCTTTCAGATCCCCTGTAGGCAGTCCTCTGGTGGAAACAGGAGGGACAGCATGTTAGGCCATCACTTTTACTGTGTATCAATTAGGATGCCTGTGACAAGTGACAGAAAACCTGACGAATGGTAGCTTAAAGCAGAGAGACCTTCAGGAGGTCCTAAGGCTGACTTGATAGCTCAACAGCATCATCCTGGACCCAGGTTCTTCCCAGCTCTAAGCCACGTCTCCCTTCATGGCCCTAAGATGGCTGCCACCCCGACAGGCATGCATCGTCACACCAACAACAGCTTGTTCAGGAAAGAATGGTATGGGGGCAAAAGGGCTTTCTCCATCCACCATTTCCAACAGGGAGGCAAATCCTTCCCAGAAGCCCCTGTAGAATCCTCTTATCTCTCATTGGTCTGACCGGGTCACGTGATCGTCCCTGGACGAATCAGGGGCTTGAGGTTGGTGGGATTGCCAGGGCTGGCTTGGACCTATTATAGACATAATCCTGGGTTAAAAAATGAAAGAAGACAATATAGGTGATACAAACTTTGTTTACTACTTCATGATGTGGACAAGCAGAACGCCAACAGGCATATGAAAAGATGCTCCACATCACTCATCATAAGGGAAATGCAAATCAGAACCACTGTGAGAGACACCCACACCCATCAGGATGGCTATTATCAAGGAACTGAATACAGCAAATGCCGGTGAGGATGTGGAGAAACCGGAACCCTTGTGCACTGGTGGCAACAATGTAAAATGGCTCAGTGCCGTGGGAAACACTAGTCCCTGTTCTCACACTGGGCCCTGGGAGCAGCTCTGTGAGGCAGGCAGGACAACTTTATTATCATGGACTGTCTAGGAAACCACGTCCCAGAGCCGGGAAGCCACTGGCTCAAGGTCACCAGCCATTAAGTGGCATGTCTGGCTTTGACTCAGGCCTGTCTGACTCCACGGCCAGTGCTTTCCCCACTGTGTCATGATTACATTTCTGTCCTGTCCTTCTCACTGGGGCAGAAAGCAAACAGACTTCTGCCAAGCAGGAGGGAAAGGTACTGACTTTCTGGAGTGCGACTCAGGACTCCTGGTGCAGGAATCTCGAGGGTCAGTGGGCTGGAAGAAGCTGGCAGGGCCATGGTTTGTTCATGGAGCTCTTTGCTGACTGCGAGCACGTCTTACATCATTCTCACCAGCCTTCCCCGGGCAGGCTGGATTTCATAGGCCGGGGCTCAAGCTCCCAGCTCTGCCTTGTCTTGATTCAGCTCCTGCATCTAGCCTCAGAGTGCCTGTGGACCCATAAAGCTCCTCGAAAACTAGTCTTCTGATCCCCCAAAGTTAGACATGGCTGATGTATTGTTTCCTAGGGCAACTGTCGCAAAATACCCTTATCTGGGTGGCTTAAAGCAACAGAAATTCATTCTTTCATGTTCCAGAGGGGAAATTCCTAATCAATCGGGTGTCAGGAAGGCCAAGCTCAGGGGAGAATCCTTCCTTGCCATTTCTAGCTTCTGTGAGTTGCTGGCAGTCTCTGGTGTTCACTAGCCTGTGGCCACATCACTCCAATCTCTGTTTCCATCATCACAACGCTGTCCTCTACCCATGTGCCTTCGCATCACCTTCCCTGTGTGTGTGCCTAGGTCTAAAATTAGTGGACCTAATAAGGGCATGAGTCATCCTGGCTCAGAGCCCACTCTAATGATCTATTTTAACTTGGTTACCTCTGTAAAGACCCCATCTCCAATTATGATCACACCCCAAGGTAGTGGGGGTGGTTGAAGACTTCATATCTTTTTTGGGGGACTCCATTCAACCCATGACAACTGGTTAAATGCTGATAGCTGAGAAGAGCTGTCTCTTGTGTGCTCAGTGTGGTC